ACATTTTAACATATGCAGGAACGCTGGGGTAAAGCTAGAAGAGAAGAACTGGCATGAACACATCCCGAAGACAGTGGAGACAAGTCAAGATAGCCAAATAACTATTTTGTGGAACCAACAAGTCAGAACAGATAGAAATATTCCAAATAATAAACCAGATATTATAATCTGAAACAAAAACGGAACTTGCCTCTTAATTGACATAGCAACGCCGACTGACAGGAATGTGATTAAGGAGGAACCGGAGAAGATCTTGAAATACAAGAACCTTCTCAGAGAAATACAGAGAATGTGGAAAGTTCAAGCAAAAGTAATCCCAATAGTTACAGGGGCAACAGGAACTGTCTGCAGGTCGCTCAGGAAATATTTGGCCAACATCCCGGGCGAACACGACATCAGGGAACTGCAGAAGACCGCCATTTTGGAAACTTTAAACATCATTCGAAAGACGCTGTCATAAAAAAAAATTATATAATACATGTAACACTTGCTAAAAACAAAATGTATCCCGGAAATAGCTGCTGCCCTATGTACCTTAGGGACAAGGTCTGTGTCGGGTTTATATTTATTTAGTGTTCTGTCTGACGACAGGTCCATATGAACAGGATCCTTCCATCCTTTTCTCGAACGGGGACCTGTTTATATACGTTCTTGGCTGATGATCCAGAAGTGTTTTGCCATTGCCTTATTCTGTGTGTGAATTTAGTAATTGTTGGGATGCCACGGAGGAAAACTCCGTGTTGCCTAGACCACGGCCTTGCTCGGGTACATGAAAGTACATACCCCATAAAGTGGTGAATAAATGGGATAATAATAATAATAGCAGTAATAATAATAGTAAATCAGGTCTCTCTACCTGAAGAGACTCTATAATAATATAAAACTGGTCTCCTTCCTTCAAGAGACTGCCCAATAGAAATTGCCTCCTTCCTTGAAGGGAGTGATCGTGAGAAACTCCACCACGGTTTGCCCACGCAGCCCTCATTAACAGAACAACTCGAGTACACACTCGCAAACATATTAGATATCAAGAACAATAGAAACAAGGTCCTTCCGGTTACACTGTATTCTTGTGTTTCTTTGACAAGCGTTCGATAGAATTATGTTACCGGACGTATTACAACTTCCTAGACATAAATAAGTACCTCACAAAACAGTGATATATACAAGAACAATCAAATTAAAATATCAGTAAACGGAGAATGTCGGGGTTCAATTAAAGTAAATAAGGGAATTAGACAAATAGACTCGATAATCCCCCTGCAATTTATAGTTTAAATGTGGATGAAATCATAAACGAAGTT